AAATCACTCGATAAGATTGAATAAAAATGTTTGCAGCGTTTATAAATATTATTATCAGAAGCGGTATTGTAGTTGTTTTCAAGAGACGGATTAGATCGCTGTTTAGGTTTGGCCGTTAAATATGTAGTTATAGCGTTCTTAAAGAAAGTATCGCTATTAATTTTGCCTTATACTTTGCTAAAATCAATATCTTTAATGAAGAATGTAAGTGAGAGTGCTCTTTCGTCGAATTTGCCCGTAAATTTTAAGGTTTATAATATTGTCCAAAACCCGTGACAAAATGTAAACAAACTATTAACGCATCGGTTACGCTCATATTTCATCGATCGATTCGAACACCAAGAATTTTGTAAAAGGTAAAAATTCATTTTAAGTCAGTGCATTGAATTATTTACGGCAAAATCAACAACAATCATCGAGGAGTTTTCAATTTTGAAGCGTTTAACAGCAAAAAGTCACATGCTAATTCGGAGTAAATTTAGACAGTTTTTAAACAGACTGAGCTATTGTTAGTCGCGTAAAGTTCTATTCTTCATCGAAGAATAGGCAAATGTTGCGGATGTCTGAGCAGGAACAATAACCAGGAAAGGGATATACCCAGGGGATTTCTTGATTGACACTAAATTAACGTCATTTTTCACTAATTTGCATTTTCACGATCGACGTTTTTGAATGGGCGCGTTTCTGTAATGCTTTTAATGAGATTCTCTGTTTTTTTTTTCCCTTTCAGCTTCTGGGGCAAATTCGGCGAAAGGCAAAACCCCAGACGCATGTTATCCAGAGCTCCCATCAACTGTACTCCATCTTGAACGACCCCTCCTACCGCATTAGTGCTGTCAGGATCTGTTCCAAAGACGTCATGGAAGTGGTCACCAACCGAGCCGACGAAGAGGTGGAACGAAGCTTGAAGATCAATTTATTTATTGCCATTTTCACAACAGCTCTCTGCGTTAGAAACAATACAACAGCGAGTGTTGTATTATGACACGGATTCGGTCATATATAAATGGCGCCTAGGGCAAGTAGAAATTCCCTTAGGTGTGTTTTTGGGAGAATCCACGGACGAAGTAGAAGGTGACCTCATCAAAGAATTTGCCAGTGGGGGTGCGAAAAACTATGGGTATGAAACCAGGGGAGGGAAAGTAGAAAGTAAGGTTAGGGGATTTTCAGTGAATTACAAGAACAAACAAATTTTGAATTTTTATACTCTCCGCGATAACATTTTGAAAGAACTCGATCAGCCTCAATCATCTAGGACAGAAATGTCCTTAGTGGATGAGCTTTTTTTTCACAGAGACCAGACCAACAAACGGATTCGTTTGATTGAACGTGAAAAGAAATATGGTCTGGTCTTTGACAAACGAGTGATCGAGAGGACCACTCGCCAGTCGTATCCTTTTGGATACTCTCGTATTCCCGACGAGGTCGACTTGCTTTCGGAGTTGTAAATAGTTTTTCATAACCAGTATTGTACATAGAAACAGGTCAGCTTTGTGGCGCCATTCGAAGTGTTGTAACGTTAAATCAACATGGAGGTTTAACGAAGAAATAAATTAAGTTCGCGGCAACTCTCTGTGTGTTTTCTCTGGGTAAGGGTTACGGTCAAAAAGAGGCAGATGGTTAAGTTAAACAGCATTTATTGAAAAAAAGGAAAATAAAATTACAATTTGAGTTTTCTCTTGGCTTGCATGATTTTCTTGACGACTTTCTCATTCATGGTCTTTTTCCCAGGTAAACGATCAATGGCTTTGATCATGACGTCATCCGCTTTCCATTTATCTTGCAAATTCTTGGCTTTGCTATATGCAATGTCATGATGCATGGCAATTCGGCCTAACCTGTTTTTTGGCTTGTCACCGCGTTTCAAACGTTTGGCTAGTTTCGTGCCAGGGCCAGCAAATCGGTACGAGGGAATATGAACGTCCATGCCTATTTTCTCAACGGCTTTTTGAAAATCAAATTTTCCCCCTCGCTGTCTCCTTCTACGGGGTCTTGAACGTTTCCGTTTACCAGTCTTTCCCATCGAGTTTGTTTCTAGTCGGAGTACCAAAGGGTTTCCACCCAGGGGCTGGGGCTAACTTTTTCAAAGCTTTTTCGGTGGCCTTTTTTAGCACAGTTTGTTTTAAACCTTCTTTTTTTCGTTCGTCACTCTGGGATTTGCGTGTACGTCTTCTTAAGGCTCTGTGTCTGGCTAATTCACCCGGAGTTTTCCAAGGCGATTCGCCTTACTGGTCTGAAAAGGGTAATTCTGTTGCTAATTCTTCCAAAGACTTTTCAGGGGTCTTGAAGGTAGACGAAGCAGACTTTTTCCTTTTAGGTGTCTTCGTAACAAACGCTTTCCTTTCGATCCAGTTTTAAAGGAAAACTTGGGTTTTTTTCTGCTTTCGGGAGTCTTGGGCGACTGTTTAATAGCCGGTGTCACGGCTGTTTGTGGTACGTTAGGGGTCTTGGGTTTCCTTTTTATACCCTTCTGAATTTTAGCAATATTACTCATAAATTGTTGCATGGGACCCACCGCTAAATTATTGGCATCGTCATCATCCGTGTCGTCATCATCACGCCCTATAGCGCGTACACCCCCAGGCTGACGAATTTTCTTGGTCCATTGCCGTAACTGTCGGTTCACGGATTTCAAACGGGGTTCTTTCCAGGTATCGGGGGCAGGACTTTCTAGCAACAGTTCTTGTTGGGCCGCTAAACCCGCTGCTTTAGTCAGACGACTATCATCTAAGAGGTCTGACTTGTATTTATCCCTTAGCCGTAAAAATTGAACAGAGTTTTCCACGGGCGTGCTACTAATACCATCCATGGTCAGCAATGAATGAACATCAAAGTCCCAGGGGCATACTTATACGTTTTTGGACCCCCACCTCTTGGGATATTTTTCTTTCATGCGTTGATGAAGGTTTTTCAACAGGGTGACCAACGTCATCAACCCTTCTAGCACACATAGCAGTCGCTGGAACAGGACTTGTTTCATCTTAATAGCGGTAGCGGGTCTTAGCACAATGATAGCAACGTTTTAACTCACTCCAAACACCTGCGCCTAATTGATGAATCATGAGGTGACGTCTTCTTTTTATACTCTGACGGGGACTGGCAATCAGGCGAAGCTGTTTGCTGTAGGGTTTTAATTTGGGCACAGTTTTTCTGCCAGGACGAATCACCCCACGCAAGGTATTCATGACTAATTCACTCACAGCATTAATTTGATCTGCATTGGCATAGCGAAGTTTTTGTTGACGTCTGTTTTGGTTGGCTTCCATTAAGACATCTTTTAAAAAGGCTCCTTGTCGTGTCATACGTCCCGTCATCGTGCTTTAGTCCTCCTTTGGGGTCTGCGTTTCCTTTTATACTTCTGTTTGGATAAGGCATGTAAAGCTTTCATGGTCCCATAATTGGCCGCAGCGCCGAGTCCACCCATGGCTGCCGCTTTCCCTCCAGCTACTAAGGCAGGAATAGCTGCTGCTAAGAAGGGAGCTATCCCTCCACGTTGTCTTCCCACTCCAGGTTTGCGCTTTTTTGCCAACCCTCTCCGTCGTTGTCGTCCTTTGGCCATGGTTAATGAATCTCTCGTGAATGAATCTCCTTTTATATCTTCGTCAAACGTATGAACCTGAGGTTTCCCCTCACGTTGGGTTAAATGACTCCATACGCGAAAACGATCGTCGGAGGCTGGATGTAAATCCAACATAAAATAACCAAAGGGGCGAGCCGTCAACCTCAAAAATAATTGAAGCACTCGTCGCCATTTGTCTGGATACACTTGCAGCAACAAGTTACGGATGCCCGTCTTGTCACGAGGACTTTTGAAGCAAATAGCATAATGCGCGTTGCGGTTGATGGTTTTGGCAAATTTGCCGGGAGGAAAGAGATCTTGGGTTAGATACAAGGCGGTAATACCACGATGATGAGAATCTTTGGTAAATAAATCCAACACGCGTTTATCATTGCCCGATTCCTCCATCAGATCATCGAGAATGAGAATCCCATGATGTTTAGGTTTAAACCATTTGACTAACGCTCCCTCAGGAGGAAGACCTTTGTAAAAGTGAACGTTGGAGTGTTTTTTCATGCAATCAAAACGTGGTTGCCATCGATCGTAGCAGTAAACCATCTTTTGGGGAGGGGGATAAAACAGTTTTTTCTCTTTCAAGAGGTTTTCGACCAATTCACTCTTGCCAGACCCAGACGGGCCGGCAATAATTACACTAGCAGGTTGACGAATCATGTTTCCCACAGTTTACGAAAGTGAGTGTAATGACCAGTCGCTCCCACTGCACCCATACGTTTATAACCTTTGTCCTTGCCCAATTTATACCCTATTTTGGCGCCTGTGGATAAGACGGTGCCAAGTCCTTTGCCTCTCTGATAATGACGGACGTTGTCTTTTATACCTTTGAAAGCTTGCTTGGCTAAAAAGACGCCCATTTTAGCAAAACTGGGAGAGGGCTCTGACAAACCCATAACCACACCTTCGGCAATTTTATCCACTAGACGGGGTTTTCTTTTAAATCGGGCGCCCCCTTTTTGACTTTGGCGTCGTGTTCGCCTCACGGTGCGTCGTTTTCGCCCCATAGTGTATGATACAAACGCGGAGAAGTTAATTGAACAATCAGTTGCATATGTTCCCTGAAAAAGGTTTCTCCCGTCCATTCAATATAGTGTTTCATGGCCTCCCAACCTTGTTGTTGAGCCAAATGAACCGCCTGCTTCCAATGAGACCCATCCCATTGGTCTTGGTCAAAATTCTCCCAGGGATGTTGACTCATATACAGTACCTTGGCTTTGGCAAAGGCCTCATAGACTTGACGGGAATCCTGACGTGTAATCATGCTGAAAGTACACACGATACAGTCTGGGAGAGACTAAGGCTAGGGTAGTAAACACCACCTTTTTAAGGACTGGTTTGTCCAACAGAAAGGTGTTTAATGCAGACCATTGATGAGATCTGGCAAGGGTAATAATCTCCACCCAGTCTTGTAAAGTACCCAAGGGCCAATGACAATGACAGTACCATTGATACAACAAATAGATGTGGGCTTGCGTAAAAGCCAATCCCTCTATGGCGTTTTGCTCATCCCCACGAGTTAACATGTTCAAGAATGAAACACACAGAGTTGGGTACACATATTTATTGTAAATCATAAAAATAACAAAAGGCGCAAAGGGCTTACATTGGATTGTTTACAACTCAATTCTTTTCTAGACAGCTGTGCCTTAATTAGACGTTGAATCTTTTCACCGCACGACGATCATTTAATACTAAATTTTGCGAGTTCCATTGCACTAAAAAATCTTGAAAGGATTCATTCCTCGCTTTGGCTTTTAAAAACAAGAGCGCGTAATGTCCACAGGTTTGACTGTCCATGGCTTGCAGGGTATGATCACTGGTAATGACTTCTTTCCATTGCTTGAACCAAGCTTGTAACTGTGGGTTCTTGTAAGTGGATAAGGGCAAACCATAACTATCAAAGACTTCACACTGGGTTTCGCGTCCAAATAGCTAACCAATGTTCCCCAGGTTAACCTTCGGGGTCTGTGTTGACAATGTAAGCATCAGTCAAGACTCTCGTTTTGTGAACGGTTGGTAACTTGTCAGCTGGAAACATCCCTCGAAACACTTTGTTCAAGTCGGGATCTTGTCTGGCTAAGTGGTTCAGGACCGTATCACTCAGAGCTACGAACTCCATCTTAGCTGTTGACAGAATAAAGAATTCCACCCCACTGATCTATTTCATAGATATTTTCATACTCGCTCCAGATCACCACGGTAATGTTGTGACCGACCGCTGCCCGGAAGTCAATTTCATAGCGGACATTGCCTGTGAGTCTGGGATTTCTGTACTCAGGGTCATCGGCATCGCCTGGGACATTGTTGAACATGAACAGGGTGCAATTTTTGCCTTGTCCCCAATCCCCTGTCCGCATCATAGGTATTTTGTGATGTTTGTAGGCCCCAGAGGCAGTAAGGAATCGGTCATAGGCAAACTTTGATTGGCAAAGGGGTAGTGTTGCAGACTTCCATGGTAATTGGTGGAATTCATTAATCCTATAATAACCTTCCCAGGAACCTTGTTCACGAAAACAATGTCCTGTTGTCATCGAGTGCTATTGCCATCAAACGAATAGGTTCTGATTTCACTGCGAGCCACAGGATATTGTACTTTGTTGGTTTTACTAAGGCTACGTTCTTTCTGCAGTCTGGTATACACGGAGGCATTGAGAGAGACTTTTTTCATCCAGAGAGTGACAAAGATGTCATTGTCTTCTAGGGTGAGAATCTTTTTGCCTACGGAGGTGGTCGTGTCTGGCGTTCCAAAGAGAAACATGTTACTGTCGTTCAAATAGAGCTCTAGATCAATTTGAACCCCTGGCACCAGACATTTTCCGGTTCTGAACGCGGACACGTGAGGTTTGATCATAAAGGTATGATACGCTTTGCCTAGCAAACGGCGGGTTAAGGACTTGAGCCCTGTTTTTCCATCCCAGTCGTTGGGATTGGGTTTATCATTAGTACCAGCATAGGTAGGGGTTAATGAAGCACCCACATTCAGTTCATTGACCCATCCTTGAGCAGCCAGGATGGTTTTTCCTTCTTCACGATTGTAATGCAACATTGTTTCTACGTAGGCTTTGTGGTGATAGGCATTGCTTTGCTCCGTCATCAATACGCCGTTGAAGCTCACATTCATTTGATTAAAGAGAATATGCCCAAAATTGTTGACACACACATATTTTGGGTCATTGCCATCTGAGGCGGCTGTTTCATCATCATCAAGACCTCCTGTGCCTGTTGTATTCATACGTACTTTCACTTCCAACTTGGTTTCATTTAGATCATAGTAATCGTCGGAGGAGGGGACGGTAAAGAGAATAGGTCGTCTGCCAGTATTGGCGGGTTTAAAAGGAACCCATCGTTTGGCTTCATACCGATAGTCAATGTCTGGGACGTCGAACAGATTCAATGACATGTTGACAGAGTGATGGATTAACGTCGTCTGCGACGCCTTTTATGCTGTCGACCTTTGGTGGTCCATGGATAAGTGACTTTGTACACACGTCCTCATTTCTGTTTTGCCTTTTTTCTTAATTGACGTAACCTTGAAGGTTCTACCCCATAAGGTTTGTAGGAGGTCATGGCCCAGGGATTCATGGGGCAAAAAATAGTGCCACCCCGTTGGTAGGGTGAATTGTAACGACCCACCGATCACTGGTGTTTCACACGCGATTGCGATTTTTGTCCACGTCTCATGATTACACGCCTAAAATGTCTTTGACACGTTGTCGTTTCTTTTTATAGCTTTCTTTAGCTTTGGTTTTGGCATAAAGACCTACAGCTGCGGGAATTTTACGTTTCAGACCTCGTTTTAACACTTGGCTTGAGCTTTTAACGGCCTCTGCCGCAGACGCCCCTTTTTCATGCGCGTCAAGGCCATGTCCAATGGATCGAAGCAATGTGGGTCCAGCTAATTTGACCAACTCTTGTGAAAACCCTTTTCCTTTCAGAGTGGAGGTATGATATCGTGTGAGTGACCCGCCCAACATGATGAAAGACTGTCATCAGAGAGGAGAGGGTTCCAATTCCACTTTTCTCAACAACGAATGTTTTTGGGTCCCAACGATGGTCGATTCGACTACATCGCAATACAACATCACTATTTGTTTGATGGTTCCCACATGTGTATTAAACAAGGCATTTAAGTTTAGGAATTGCTAATCGACGTAGCGGGTGAGATACATATACTGCTTTCCTTCCTCGGTCTTGACTTTGAATAACTCAAAAACTCTAACCACTGATACCTTTGATTGGTTCTCGTAGGAAGTGTGGTATCATTATAGGTGTTGGTGGGTAATGCATAGTCTAAATTGGGTCCTAATTGATACTTGTCGTTCTTGTCTTTGGTAAGGAGACCAATCTTTTGAGCAAAGTCGACATGAAACCCAACGGTTGATAAGGGTTGCACTTTATTGGCTGAACGCGAGCATAGACATCTTGAAGAGGGACGGCTTTTAAAACCAGCGTGTCTTGTTTCCATTCAAACGTGGGTTTCCAAGTGGATTTCAAGGATACAGTGGCTGCATCATTTTTGGCTGTTTTCCAAGCGACTGAGGTGGTCGTCACATCTTTCATCATCGTTTGATCCATATGGGGGATAATATTATGGCATAATTGAATACCTGAGGTGACCGGAAAATCGTTTTCCATCACGTCCTTTAAGATCACCTCTTTGTCTTTGGCTATAAAGTCCACCAACCATGAATTATCCGCTGCTTGATAACGTTGGGTGAAAGTATAACGATATTTGATTAACCCTATATCCTGATTAGAGGAAAGAACGGTGGGACTATGTCCCTCGTCAGCCAAGGAGACACTCCATAAACTCGCTTGCCCAGTGTCTCCCGGTAAATTCAATATGGTGGGTAAACGGACTTCAAAATTGTTGTTTTTATTGTTGGGAAATTCATCAGTGGGATCACTGATGAGAGTGATACGAAATTCATTCATAGTAATTGCAAGTCTTTTTTCCAAATCCAACTGTTATACTCTTTGGGCCACCCTTTCCACCCAACAAACACTTGATTTCCTTTTCGTTTTAACACTTTTTCCACCCGAAATAATGCCTCATCGGGGAGTACAACCTTTTGAACATCTTCTTCATAAAAGGTGCCTTTTATAGGTGTTCCATTCCATTCTGTGAGGGTGTAGTTGACAACGGGGCGGATGGTTGAAATCCCATGGACTAAAAAGACTTCTTCTGTCCAACCAGGCAAATACCCTTTTTGAAACACCCGATGTTTTTTGTTTAACCGTACTTTATCTCCCACACGCAGTTTAGGACGAGGCCGTTTGCGTAACCGCTTTTTATACAATCGATTCCAAATCAAATATCCATTGTCCGGGGTTACATGAGCAGGTTTTTCTTGAATACTGGAATGAACCGTGTGATTGTATTGCTCCACGATGAGGGGAAGGGCTTTCAAGTAGGTGAGGGTATTGGCAGCAGTAAAATAACGATACAGTTTGGTTTTTGACGTTTTACTCAACACTTCAGCTAAAGCGGCTTTTGTATCCGCTTGGGTGGAAAAATGGTCTACTTGGTGTTTTTTAAAAAAGGCTTGCACCTTAGCGTTCATGAACTCTGTCCCGTCGTCCGATTGCACCCGTTGAGGTTGTCTGGGGCTAGCTTATTTCCATAACGTCTGTAACGCTTGCACCAGTACCGCACCTGTTTTGTTTTTGATGGGAATAGTCCAGGCATATTTGGACAGGACATCCACCACGGTTAAAATGTATCGGTGACCTTTATTCCATTTGGCTAATTTCTGGACGTCTATCAGATCCATCACCCACTGTTGATCGACTTTAAAGACCATGACGGGTAAGGTAGGAAATGGCGACGTCGGGGCTTGTGTAACGTGTAACTCAACATGGTTTCTAAGACTTGACGAGCTTTGGATTGAGTGAGTCCATGGGCTTTGGCAAATTTAGCCACACCTCCTAACGAGCCAGGTTGGGAGGGATCGACATAGGCGTTCGACAGTTTTTGCGCTATGATACATGAACCACTGTGCTAACAAATAGGACAATGAATACGTCCATGAAGAATAGCGTGTCTTTAAATAGTGAAAAATCAATAGTCCCTGCGTGGGAAAATGACGTTGCAACCAGGTGATGTAAATAGCGTAACGACCCCAACTGCGATTGGTGTCCATCATATACTCAAATAAGGCAATAGATGCACAGCTCTCTTCTGTAATGGGTCTGTCTTGGGCTAGTTTTTGACAAATCCACATAGTGCATCTATACACTAAGGCTTCCATGGTGAACAATGATATCTATGAGGAGGTGGCTGTGCTTTATACTTCAAAAAAGTTTTTGGCATACCCTTCAGTTCCAATACATGAAGGACATGGTATGGCCAAAATGGTATCACCGGCTTGTTTTGAATCAAGATATCTTTGACACTTTGGACAGAGCAACTCGTACCGCAATTGAGCATTATCTGTTTGTAATGCAGCTATTTCCCCTTTCATGTCTTCAATTTGTTTATCTCGGACCTGTAAAAGGGCTCGGAGTTGTTTCAATTCAACTTCACAATCATGCCAAGCGCGAGTCATGTCTAACAACCTTTGAGATGACATGATGATGACCTCAAAATAAAACTAAATGGAGTAGATTGGGTTGCTTTATAACCCTAATCCTAACCCCTTGGGACTAAGGTTTATTACCAAATTAACCCTAACCCTAGAGGCAAAGAACCACACATTACCAATTCACACTTTTTATAGTTTAAAACAACACCAATGATGGACCCTCGTTTTTACATCTTTGTGCACATCCACTAATTGTTCAAAAAAACGTTCTTGAGCTGGGGTTAATGGTAACCCTTGTTGCTTTCGTTTACGGCAATACGACGCCAAACTGCACACTTTTTCCGGCAAGTCACCAAAGGGCCAGGGTCCCTTCACATAATCAGCAATAGCTGCTTCGTTTTGAGGCCAAAATCCTGTGACGGGTTTGCACTGATGATGACAGGCGCGCAAATACTTTTCATCTGCAGGGGATAAGTGTTTGCCTTGGTTTTTCTCTTTTGCAAGTAGGACGCTAAACTGGCATCACTAGGAGGTAAGCCTCCAAAGGTCTTCGACACGGAGGTTTGAAACTCGCTGTTGGCCATGGCATTGATGTCATCCCATTGGTCTCGTTTCTTGATTATCTCCGCTATCTCAGGACTCCAATGAAAGGTACTTGGCAGGAATTTCTTCCAAGGATTTACGCTTTGTTTGGTCTGCCGCTGCTGCTCTTGTTGTTTGGCAGATTCTGCAAACTGATTGAACCAGGCTTGGTCGGATTGCCGCTTTTTCCACTGCTCGACATTTTGCTCTGCTTGGTGCATCCACTCTCGATTTTCTTTAGTGAAGGATTTGAGGGGTCTTGGTTTGTAGGTTTTTCGCAGCCAGTCTGGCATGGGATCAGAAGGCAATGGATACAACGGTGTATGGATTCGTTGAAAATACTTGCAACGAGCGTCTTGAGCGGAACCACCACAGGTAAGAAACACTTTGTTGAGATTTTTGGCAGTTTTACCGCATCTTGGGGAGCTTTTGGCAATGACACATTAGATTACCCCATTTGGCATGGACTTCAGGATGAATCTCTTGTTGAAGGACCATTTTGACTTTTTTCTAATCTTCGTCTTTTCCATAATACGAGGGACAGGGTTTCTCTTGATCCCCAAATGCAAGGAGAAATTCAGTGGTTAATGGTTCATTCCCGTGGAAGTTCATGATGATAACTGATCATGATTCAACGCATGCCGTGTATTTAACAAAACCCCTATGACGCCAACTCCTCCCTAGCGAGCGGGCAAGTCTGGGTCATGACGGCAATGACCCTCTCCTGGGAAAGGGTAAAACATGACAAACAGCATGCACTCACGTAGCAAAAACAACTTTAATACAATCACACGTTTTTACAATGCTTTAAGGAAATTGAAATCCTCCTTCGGTTTTCTACTTTTTCTCCAGGCTCATCCTGTCACTGACTATGTCCGCCAGTCGTTTCTTCAGGGCTTTTCGAGTGGCTGTCTTGGGTACATAGTTGGGTTTGGGGGGCTCACGGATCCACTGAAAATACCCACATCTGGCTTCTCGAGGTTTGGGACAGCTTAGGAAGACTTTGTTCATGTTTCCGAGTGTTTGACTCAACTGCAATTTGGGCACTAATCCACAACGACAGCTAAGGGTTCCCCACTGATTGAGTATTTTGCTGTGTATCTCGTTACACAAGGCTTCCGCCACAATCTGCTTGCTCTGAATACTTCCAAAAAAGACCGGACAGGTATAACACAGGGCTAGTCCTTGGTTAGGAAGGACAAAGTTGGTATGCAGGGTTTGTTTTCATCTTCCAAATACTCCAACATGTTAGCCATTTGCTCTGGTTCCTCCACAGGCCACAATTCCACGGTTCGACCATCTTGGGTCACTGCTACTCCCTCTTCCAACACTTTCACAGGCGGTAGGTCAGGTTGTGTTTCCATAGAGCTTGGACGATTGAACATGTCATCTAGCATCATCTCTTCATAGCTTGGGAGAGACGGTCTAGGATACTCTTCTATGTTTCCTGCTAATGAAGGACCAGGCATGAGAAGGTTAGTGGGCACTGTGGGCTGAGGAGGGATGACTCGCAGTTCATCTCCAGCATACGGTGGATCCTCGATCACTTCTTTGGGGTTGACTGTTTTCTTGTTTTTCTTGCCTTTTGGACGTTTGTTGCTTCCTTGAATTAGTACTTGAGGCTGAATCATTCGTTTTCCAAATTCGCCATCTTGGGGTCGTCAGGACGAGTTATGGACTCCTCATCAGGGGAACCAAATATAGCGTTCATGGTATTCTGAAGTTCAGACATTCTGCTTCGTTGCAATTGCTGAACGGTTGGTTCTTGAAATTTGCACATAATGACTTTTTTCACTTGAACACATTACTTTATTGAGAATTCGGGTACTAAGGGCATTGGGTCATGACGTCAATCCCTCCCTGGGGAGCGGGCAAGTCTAGGCCATGACGTCAATACCTTGTTTACGCTTGGGTGGATGGCGTGAATCTAGTCACGTTCGCGTTCCTTTTAAATAGCATGACTCTACCCAGAGACTTCATTCATTCTCCAAGTATGGAGACTGTTGGAGTTGTTGCTTTCTGTCACGGTTTCAAAATCGCCGATGAGTTTTTTCTCTATAGAGAAATTGGTTTATGTAGTCGAGATGGATATCATCATCTTTTGTTGTCTTATTCTCCTAGACGTGACTTGTCTGCTTTTTCTAATGAGACCCAAATGAGTATTGATGAGCAAATGAAGTACGATCATGGACTAACCCTTGACAACACATCTGGACGAGATCAGAATTTGGTTGCTGCCGATGTCAAACAATGGTACGAGACTCGTTGTCCCTCCGATTTCCCCGCTGTGGGTTTGCTAGATGTTACTCCACCGCTGAAGGAGCTGTTTCAAGCCATGGATATCCCTACTGTGGACCTTCCCATCGGTTTAAACGAGATCCATGAACTGCCTATAGGTACCACGAATGTCATGTCACCTAGCGATTTTATACATTGGTGTAGAAATCACAGTGATGGCAAGTTTCCCGTTTGACATGATTATTGTGCCTGCGTCCTGGTGTGTAAGCTCAGTTGGTGGTTACGCAAAACCTTGCACGTTCAACCCTCGGTCCAAGAAGTCAATGCTCAGCGTGTTTTGTGGCAAAAGCGTTGTGACGAATTGTTGGAATGGATTCTATGTGACTATTGCATTCAAGAAAAAGATGATGCTTTTGCCAAGGGGTTAGGATTATATTGGGTGCCAGACAATTGCCATGGAAAATGTAAAATAGTGCAGTACATTTTTGAAAGAGAAATAACCGACCCTAGATGGGAATTTTTTTTATAAGGATGAATTACCCGAATGTATGCGAAAATTTGCGATAAAAGTGTGATGTGTAATAAAATTTCCTTTGACCATCATGACTCAACCGAGTGACATTGTTTACCCTGTTTTTCAAAAAGAAGTTATAAGAGTCCCAAAGGAAATGCATTAGGGTGGACAAGTCAGGGAAGCGTGAACTGTCGATATAAGCAAGTGATATTGTTGACTCACCATCAGTGATGACTGACAACGAGTGGTTTGCTATTGTGGGAGAAGCCGTGATTTTTTGCGCTAGTTTAGTTCAGAAAATCAAGACGTTAAAGCAGCAACTGCAGTCTGCCCAGGAGGAATTGACAAGACTCAAAACTGCTGTCAAAGACTTGGAAGAACGATATCGCTACGACACCGTGCACTGAGATGGACACGTTGTTGAAAAAACTAGATCCTGGAAACTTTTCCAACTACAAAGAGTTTATTCGCGCTTTGCTCAAGCCTTGGCTAACAGAGTTTACCTTTCACGAGTTGAATTACAATCTCTATGCTTTGAACAAAGAGATTTTTAATCAACTGAACAAAGAAACGACGGCCTTTTTTAAATTCTTGCATCGAACACCTGATGTGGATTATAAAATGAAGGACTGACTTGCTTGAGTTGCATTCAACACTGACTTTTCTGGAATGAACATGGCCTCCCTTTTCAACTGTAAAGAACCTTCTAAAGTAAAAGCTTATAATGCTTTTATGCAAGCCATCATTTTAGACGGCATCTCGCATCACAATTTAACTTTTGATAAATTGAACAAGTTATTGTCCAATTCTAACAGAGAGATTTTTGAACATGTTTGTGAAAAAGCCATTTCCTATTTTGATACCTATACCACTGAAAGCATCAAGTCCTGTGGGAATTGAACATGTCCGGACAATGAAGTCATGGCATTGTTTCTTCTAGTTATATTACTCTTTGACATTGTGTTTGCTTCATTCTTTGACGCAAGATGTTGGGTGTTGAACGTTTTACGATTTTCAGTGGTGGCGCTAATGGGGTTGATTTAGAAGCAGACCGTTTTGCACGAGACTTTGGTTTACCTGTCAAGATCATAATTCCACCTTGTCATCCACGAAGCAAATACTTGCACCCGTTAACGCATCAACAGTTGGGAGAAGCCATTCCAATCACAAACCAAGTCTCCAATCGCCTCAACAAACCATTAAGCAATCCCATCAGTTTACAGTACATTCACCGGAATTATCATGTGGTGAAACAAGCCGAAATGGTACTGGCTTTTACAAGCTTTCAACCTGAAAGTAACTTATGCTTTGGAGGTACCGGTTGGGCAGTGGAAATGGCCAAACTTCTCAAGAAAATCTTGTACGTGTACGATGTGGAACGCAACATTTGGTTCTGGTACAATCACCAGCAAGATATATTCTACGCCTGTGATCAGATGTCTGAAGAACAGTTTGCTTTACCCACCTTTTTACCCAAAACGGCCATTGTGGGGATCAGAAACATTTACGATTTTCCAGACGCTTTATTAGAACTTCAAGATACCTTTAAACGTAGTCTCAATATACCTGTATAAAGTTTTTCATCTTTACACAGATTCTGTCACTTGGTCTCGGTAGTATAATGGTTAGTATCTCTGCCTGTTACGCAGAAGATCTGGGTTCGATTCCCAGCCGAGACGTTGTTCGCTTCCCCTTTAGTATAATATCTACTCAAGTGTCTCTCCTTCTTGCCTCATGACTTCATCCCTTGTTAACATAATTGCGACCCCGTTCCGAAGGGACCCGAGCCCTCTCCGAAGGCTTCCGACTACACCCGAGCCTCGTTATAAGATATTTCCGATTTCCCCCAACAATAGATCGACATATCCTCTCGACCAATCAGAAGGTTCGAAAAACAATAGACCTCCTATCTAGAACAATGGGGACCCAACAGACTACGTATGCTGCTAACCGACATCATGCTAACCCAAATATATAAATTGTCTCTTATATGCGGACGATCTAGTGATCTTCTCTAGATCAGCAAAAAACCTTCACATAATCCTTTAAGCTGGAATCTTTCTGTGAAAATGCCGATTTAAATGTAAATTTAGACAAGACAAAAATAGTGATTTTTAATAACTGTAATAGGTCTTTAAACAACTACTTGTTCAGATTCGGCGCTGATGAACTGGAAAACGTTAAATCCTACAATTATCTTGGACTCATAATGCTGAGTCCTTTTGGAAACTTTTATCTCGCTAGGCAAGAGCTGAAGAAAGTTGCACTTAAAGCACTCTATAAATTACGAAAAGAGATGGGAAACCACTTCAGAGAAAATATAAAATCAACGATGAAGTTATTTGATGCACTGATATCTCCCATACTCTTTTATGCGAGTGAAGTGTGGGGGGTTGATTGCAATGGACAATTAGAAAAGGATCCAGCAGAATTAGTTCAAAATAAATTCCTAAAGTGGTTGCTGGGAGTTAATAAATAAGAAAGAATTTGCAGAAAGAATTTGCCCAATTTGTAAAATAGAAATGGAGGACGAATACCATTTTCTAAATATATGCCCTGCTTACCGGGAAAAAAGATGTTCGTTACTAGATTATTCGGAAAAAGAATGTAGAATAAAAATAAGCAGAATGTCACCCAACAAAATATTCATGTTTCTACTAAACCCCCCTAGCGGAAATGCTAAAATGCAAAAACTAATAGCAAAACATATATTCGAATGCTTTGAAAAAAGGAAAGGGGAAGACGGTAAGAAGTAGATACTCTAGGACTTAATTAATTAATAACTTATTACCCATATATGGTTAGGAATTTTTGTTGTTTGTAATTTTAGTTATTTGGAAATAGTTGATATACTATTTATTGTATAAGACTCCAAATAAATAAAATATGTATGTATGTATGTATGTATGTATGTATGTATCTATGTATGTATGTATGTATGTATGTATGTATGTATGTATGTATGTATGTATGCCCCAAAACTAAGTCATGCCCCCCTTCTCATTAAGCAAAAATTAATTTCAACCCCCCCTTTGAAACTGAGAAAAGTCTCCTCCCATTGATTCCCTCACACCTAGTTTACTTGTTGGATTTCTTCCTCCGGTACAAACATCACTTCAAATGACTCTTCCACGTATTTCGAAGAGTCATCAGAATCACTGAACTCTGAGCTTGTGTCGTCTTCGCATGAATTGGGAGATTCCTCATCCTCTACAGCATCTCTGGCACTAAGGTTCACGCGTGCGTGGGTGAGAACTCGATCAATCAACTCAGCCTTGCTTCCACTTCTCTTAAGATCTTTTTGCTTTAGCAGCTTGTTGTAAGCGCTTTTACATCTTTTACATGTTTTATTTACCATACTTTAAATTTGTAGTGCTATTAAAATTTCAACAGTTGGGTTTTTCGTTCTGCTAAATTATGATGCCATGTGTGCTAACATTGGCATCTTTCTTTTTCATTGAATAACATTATAGTACTACTTTATAGTGCTAAACTTTAATCAAAGTTTCCTGTTTTATTAAATCCTAGTGCAAATAAAGTAGCACTGTTTTAACATATATAACAGAGGCATTCCTTTCCTACTGCATGACAGATAGGAAAACAAAAGTTCATAGATCAGAACACCTTAGAGTTGATAAATTTGTCAGTTTTATTCCAATGTTATCTTTTTTTATAATTTAAAAACCCAAGTTTAAAAAAATTAGCATTTTTTTAAATTATAGACCAGGGGCTTTCTTTCCCACCGACATGAGAGAAAAAAAAAAAACTTTCAATGCCCCACCCCCCCTTAGGTTTGTAAATTTTTAAATCCCCCCCCCCCCCTGTATGTACTCAATTTTACATCCTACCCCCTCTCTCTTGTTGTCATTTTTTCCTATGCCCCCCTCTAATTTTCCAACCCCCTCCAGGTAATTATTGCACAGTCCCTTAGAACGGTACAGGTCTACTGCATTTTTGGAGTCTTTTTTGTAACAAGGTATTCCGTGTTCTACTTTTTGCTTGATCCCTTTCCTCGGGCTTTGTGTCACTGCATTCCTAGGGGAATAGTTTCCACACATTTTTTGTCCACTTTTTAAGGGTTGTTTTGTTTAGTGGTTTTTCGTATCTGGCCGGACAATCGCTCTTACCTAGAACACGCAATAGTATTTGGCAAGTATATCATTGATGTAGCTAGGATACATCTGCCTCAGGTGATCGACTGGTTTACCCTTTACAATCGTTTCACTCTGGATGCCTCGTGTCAGTGGAGGTCAGAAGCTGGTTTTTAAAACATGAAGCACCCATCATTAATTCCATTCCATTCTGTTCATTGCAACAGGACAACCCCAACGTTATGTTTCTGGTACCCATTTATAAACCTGGATCTAGTTGTTCGAGGGCCGATTAGCGCCAACGGCTGTTATTTCTTCTGTTTAAAATCGCTTTTACAGATAGGGTTTCTCTAGTTTTTAGAACATCCATTCATCAAATTGTAGAAAAAAAATTAAACTGACTTTGCTTTCTAAGCTTTAACACCTGAAATAAAATTAAAATTTTGCTCTAACCCGGTGGTTTTAAACAACCCTGCCCTGATTAAAAAAAGGGGTCTACGTAAGAGTTTTACTCACCCCGGTTTATTAGTGGCTTTATTTAAAGAAATCAGATCACTTACAACGATAACGTATTTGAATTACCCCAGTGTTTTCACTCGACCATCCAGTAATGTTGTTCATTCCTATGCATTTATAAGCCCCCGCGTGTTTTTCTTGGATATAAGGATTTCGAAGAACAGAAGATAAGGTGTCCTCTCCAACCAGCTGCTCGTAGAAATAAAAGCTGTCAGATCCGTTGATGATTCGTTTACTATCTGGATTGTACCAAGCAACACGAGGACGAGGCCATCCCTTAAAGGTACACTGAAGTACCATTTGCATCGTATGACGATAGTAATCCACTGGAGAACTTGTCTTAAATACTCTCTGAACTGGAACTGAAAAGCAATTTTTCGTCTTACTTTCCACGCTGATAAGTCATCCACTCAGTTAGTTTTAAGATAGAGTGATCTCTCTTTTTCAAGTGACAATTTCCTAAAACAAACTCATTAATGCTTTACTGCAGTTCATATGTTGATTTTAAATTAGCGACTCAGTAAACTGCGTTTGTTAACGTTGAAGGTGATTCAGCCGGACGAAACTTCAACCGCTTAATGATATTACTCTAACCGTAAGGGCTGACATTACCATGCAATTAAATCTCCGTCAACCACCTATGAGGTCTTCAGGGATCATTAATAATACAATATGTAAAAAGAAGACAAAAAATTATCCATCATGATGTTTTTATATAAACCATGAATTATAAAAGAGGAAAAAGGAGAAAACGCTCACTGGCGTATTTTATAGAAAAACATCCACGTGACTGATTTACATCCGTCGAATAGTTTTGTAGTAAGTATAGACCTTTGGTGGCCCGGAGGTTTCATTCAAGGCCCTGCCAGGTCAAATCTTGCACATTTCCACCAGTCTTAATCGAGCATTTTAGAGTCACTTTAGAGTCTTTCGGCGTTACTGTTATCGTCTGAAAGGGGGGTTGACAAGTCTGCGCGGTTGTTTCACAGTTCATGCCTAAATGACTGCGTCCCAGTATAAACGGCCGTGTCTTTCAATAGTTTAACAGACTAACCATAACCTATTTACGCGCTCAACCTTTTTTTCCAAAGCTATAAAGCAACTATTTGAACATAATTGAGGAATCCGTTCTGTTATAATTATATATTTATTTAGCTTAAATCAGCTGGTCGTGACTTTAAATTTTATGTTAAAGGAGACGGAGAAACGACCAAATAATACGAGGGAGGAGGAAGTAAAAACCTTCAAAATAGGGGAGAGGGAAGACGCAATCTGGAAAGAGAGAAGGGCAAAAATCATCAATGATAGATTGTATATGATACACGACCCGCATTGGGATAAAACTTCACTTTGAATTTAGATTGGATTGTTCATATACTTTCAAATGTTTTCTCAGAGGAGTTTGTCCTTAGTAACTGTGGAACCTTGCCCTATGTAAATTCTTTCTTCTACCCTGGAGGGTGGTATGAAGAGAAATGCATGTATGGTAAAGTGTTTGTTGGTTTGGTTTGAAGTGAGTACAAACATTTAGGATCAATTCTTTTTTCTATTTTCCTCCTCTCCTAGGATATTCGTTTCTAGCAAAACTTTTTTCTGTCTCAGATATTTCAGCAATAAATTTTATATGCGGTTAATTACTAGTTCAATGAATAAAGGGCTGTTCAAACTTGGTACCGAGAACTAGACTGTGCTGAGCTACTGGCCCAAAATGGCATTGTTCACACTCTGGGTGCCCTATATCACTGTGTACATATTTGCTCACTTTCGCCCTGTCAGACGTCATTGGAAAAGGAGTGTAGCAGAGGATACAAAACAGTACATTGTCTCGGAGCGAAAGAAAAGATGTGGACCCGATGCCCATTAGTTCCCGTGAACTAGGTCCAACCTCGTACACCGTGGGCACTGGCACCCTGCCCGAATTCTTAGCGTGGGTATATGAACAAAGACTGTAATCACGTTACTGCCCC